ATTAGTGAAGTGCATCAACCATTTCATATTTTATAATGGAAGTGTTGTATGCATTAGTGAAGTGCATCAACCATTTCATATTTTATAATGGAAGTGTTGTATGCATTAGTGAAGTGCATCAACCATTTCATATTTTATAATGGAAGTGTTGTATGCATTAGTGAAGTGCATCAACCATTTCATATTTTATAATGGAAGTGTTGTATGCATTAGTGAAGTGCATCAACCATTTCATATTTTATAATGGAAGTGTTGTATGCATTAGTGAAGTGCATCAACCATTTCATATTTTATAATGGAAGTGTTGTATGCATTAGTGAAGTGCATCAACCATTTCATATTTTATAATGGAAGTGTTGTATGCATTAGTGAAGTGCATCAACCATTTCATATTTTATAATGGAAGTGTTGTATGCATTAGTGAAGTGCATCAACCATTTCATATTTTATAATGGAAGTGTTGTATGCATTAGTGAAGTGCATCAACCAATTCATCTTTTATAATGCAAGTGTTGTATGCATTAGTCATATTGAATTCAGATTTTCACTTCCCCTAGGCCTATAAATTGGGAGGTTCTCTAAGCTTGTAAACACACCCCAATGGGGGGAGCTCTCAAACACTTCTCTAGAGCTCCCTGCCCTTCTCTCCCTCAAATTCTCTTAGTTTGCTTTCTAGTTCTCAATTCTTGCTTTCTTTAATGTTTTCTTAGTTGTAATTTATTTTTCTTTGTTATGTAAATTCTTTTCTTAAGTTTTCAAGTTGAATTAGTTTTCAAGTTTCAATTATGGTTTTTGTTCTTATTCATTATGCTTATAAGTTAATATGCTAGTTTGAATGATTGATCACCATTAAGGCTTGGATGTTAGCTATCTTGGTTTGAATTAAGAGTATACACCATGCTTTAATTCGAATTGAACTATGAATAGGAAGAGTATGTATGGACATTCGACAACAGGGATTAGATACATACTTGGTTGTTTAAAATGTTCTTCTATGCTTAATGGGTTCCTAATGCTTAATTTTAGGTTAGACAACAAATGATCAAATTAGGGAATTAGGAACACAAGGTTATGACCACACACCATGGCTTAATCATACATTAGCTAGAATCAATCCGTTAATCTAATTGAACTTGGGAACTTATCTGCTTGAGTTAGTTATTTTCTTTCTTCCTTGTTTTATTTATTTCCCTTCTTTTTCATTTCTGTTTTGTGTAGGGAAAATGAATTGAATCATTCAATCACCAATCCTCGTGGGATCGACCTCGCACTTACATATTCTATACTACCAAACGGCTCGTGCACTTGCGAGTATCACAAGTTGAGGATGCAGTTGAACCCATTTTGGTGCAGCTGTATCTACGCAACACCGCTCACTCATATTAGATATGTCTGTTCCCCATCATCTTTGGGGGCATGTTGTTCTGTCTGCTACCTATTTGATTAATCGTACTCCTAGCCAAGTTCTTGATTTCAAGACTCCGCATGATGTGTTTGGTAACCATGTTTCCTCTGTCTCCGTCTCCAAGTTACCCCCTAAAGTTTTTGGGTGTGTTGCATATGTTCATGTTTACTCTTATCAACGGAGTAAACTTGATCATTGTGCTCTGCGATGTCTCTTTATTGGTTACTCTTCTACTCAAAATGGCTATAAGTGCTATCATCCACCTACCCAGAATGTGCATGTTACTTTGGACGTGACTTTCCATGAAGAAGTGTCTTATTATGTCTCTCCCTCCTCTCCAATTCATGGGAAAAGAGGGAGTGAATTGAAGAGTCTTGGACTTGAATTGGAGAATGATGTGTTTGAAGATACTGCTCTTGAGAAGGAAACGACCAGTAGCACTGAAGCAAGTGACCAGTCGCCCATATCTGAAGATGAAACATGTGGTTTCTGTGAAGAAACGACCAGTCGCCCTTTGGAACTCGACCAGTCGCCCATATATAGAGATAAAGCAGGTGCTCTCAATGTTGAAATAACCCGTGGCATTGAAGCAAGCGACCAATCGCCAGTATCTGAAAATAGTGACAGTGATTCTTGTATGGAAGAGTTTGATGCAATACCCCATCTACCTTGCCAGTGCCCCAATCTACTCGTGATAGTGAATCAAGTGAGATAATTTTTAATGATCTATCTGTGTCAAATTATCAGTTACCCCCACGAACCACTCGTGGAAAACGTAAAGTACAATATTCTCGTGATATACATGTCAAGTCTAAATGTCCCATTAGCCATTATGTGTCAACTCATCGTTTGTCTAAGTCATATGCATCATATTTGTGTCAATTATCTAGTATATGTGTGCCAACTAAGCTGCAGGATGCTTTATCTAACCCCAAATGGATGGATGTCATGAATGTTGAAATGGATGCCTTGAACAAGAATAAAACATGGGATTTGGTTCATTTACCACGAGGGAAGAAAGTTGTTGGATGCAAATGGGTGTTTACTTTGAAGCATAAGGCTGATGGTTCCATTGACCGTTACAAGGCTAGATTTGTAGCAAAGGGTTATACTCAGACCTATGGAGTTGATTATTTGGAGACTTTTGCTCATGTGGCAAAGCTCAATACTGTGCGTGTACTATTGTCCCTGGCTACTAACCGCGACTGGCCCTTATTGCAGTTCGATGTCAAAAATGTATTTCTATATGGTGACCTCAATGAGGAGATTTACATGGATCTCCCTCTTGGTATTCTTGTAACCTCTAAAGATGGTGTTGTGTGTAAGCTGCGAAAGTCTTTATATGGATTGAAACAGTCTCCAAGAGCGTGGTTTGGGAGATTTGCAGCATCTATGAAGAAATTTGGGTATGTGCAAGGTAACTCAGACCATACTTTGTTTCTAAAGCGTCATAAAGGTAAATTGACTGCTTTAATTATTTATGTTGATGATATGATTGTAACTGGAGATGATCAGGCAGAAATGCAAAATCTTCAAAAGTATCTGGCTTCCAAGTTTGAGATGAAGTCATTGGGTGATTTGAAGTACTTTCTGGGTATTGAAGTTGCCAGATCTAAACATGGTATCTTTATGTCTCAAAGAAAATACATTTTAGATTTACTTGCAAAGACTGGAATGTTGGATTGTAAACCAATTGATACCCCTAGTGAACAAAATCATAAGTTGTGGTTGTATCCTGATCAAGTCCCTACAGGTAAAGAGCGTTATCAACGACTTTTTGGGAAATTAATTTATTTAGCTCATACACGTCCTGATATTGCATATGCAGTGAGTGTAGTGAGTCAGTTTGTGCATTATCCTAGTGAAGATCATATGGGTGCTGTGATGCGCATTTTGAGATATCTAAAAGTAACTCCTGGCAAGGGGTTAATGTTTTGCAAGTATATATGGTCATACAGATATGGAAGGGTATAAAGATGCTGATTGGGCTGGTTTAATCACTGATAGACGTTCTACGTCTAGATATTTCACATTTGTTGGTGATAATCTTGTTACTTAGAGGAGTAAAAAGCAAAAAGTGGTGTCTAGGTCTAGTGCTGAAGCCAAGTACCGTGGGATGGCTCAAGGTGTTTGCGAGCTACTATGGTTGCGAAGATTGTTGAGAGATTTTGGGTTTGGACCCCAGAAACCCATGGATTTGTATTGTGATAATAAAGTTGCAATTGCAATTGCGCATAACTCTGTGCAACATGATCGTACAAAGCACGTGGAGGTTGATCGACATTTTGTTAAAGATAAGTTGGATGCAGAAATTATTTCTTTTCCGTTTATATCATCCGAGTATCAACTGGCAGATGTTCTTATGAAAGCTGTGTCTACTGCAGTTTTTCTCAACTCGCTTGACAAGTTGGGCATGCGCGACATCTTTGCTCCAACTTGAGGGGGAGTGTTAGCGAGATCCTATCTTAATTAGGAGATTTATTTCCTTATTTATTATGGCTATATTTCTTTCCTTTTTATACAGATATTGGGTAATTAGGATTTTATCTTTTTTCCTAGTTTGACCATACTAGGGTTACATCCTTATATTATAAATACCTCCTTTTGGAGAATTATGAAATACAACCTGAAAATATTCTACCCATATTATTTGCCTGTTAGCACCATTTTTCCCCTCCCTAAAGAAACTCATTCTATCATTTTGCCCTAATCTTAAAGGATGGTGGAGGTCAACGGCAAAGTGTGAAAAGGAACAACAACCTTCATTTCCTTGTTTGTCTGAATTAGAGGTTTGTAATTGTCCTTACCTTACTTCCGTTCCATTATATCCATATCTTGACAAATTAAAATTGATGGATTCCACCTGGAAAATCCTTGATGCACATGTCTCCTCTTCCCCTCATTCCACATTGAAATCCCTTGAAATTATGACAGATGATGAGGATATAGAATGTGTGTCCGAGGCCATTGGCAAGCTCATTTCACTTGAATCCCTTAAAATTACCTATTGCCCTAATTTGACCTCGCTACCGAAATCGATGGGTAGCCTCATCTCTTTACAGAAACTGAAGATGGAAAATTGCCCTAATTTGAGCTCATTGGGTGGTCCCTTCATCTCGTTACAGAAACTCAAGATCAAAGATTGCGACAAGCCAGTATCACTTCCTGAAGGGATAGACAACCTCACATCACTCAAATCGCTTAAAATTTACAGATGTTTTAGTTTGGCATCACTGCCGGAAGGGATAGGCAACCTCACATCACTTGAGGTGCTTTCAATGGAAATTTGCAATAGTTTGGCATCACTACCAGATCAAGGGATGAGTCGCCTCACCTCTTTACAGAAACTAAAGATTGATGATTGCCCTAATTTGGAGTCACTGCCCGACCAAGGTATGGGATGCCTCATCTCTTTAAGGGAACTGGAAATTTCAATGTGCCCTAAATTGGCATCGCTGCCAGAAGGGATAGGAAATCTCAGGTCACTTCGCAGACTTTTCATCTACGGTTGCTCTAATTTGACGTCACTGCCTGAAAGGATGAGTCGTCACACCTCTTTACAAGAATTGGATATTACATATTGCTCCCCCATCTTACATCAAAGATGCAACGTAGAAACAGGCGAGGACTGGCCTAAGATTGCTCACATCCCAAACATTTGGATTTCTTCGCCTCCTCGACCTAGACAAGATTCAAAGTCGAGTGAGTTTTTCTAACTTGTCTTGATTTAGATGCCAACCTCACTTGTTCATTTTCTTTTCTGTTCATTTTTATTTGGTGATTTATCCTTCTTTTCAGAGCGGCATTTTACGTGCTGGCCAATGAGTTGAAGCACACACATATATAATATGACTGCAACAAAGTACGTACTTGACATATATCACCTTCTGGTCATCTCTCTCTCCCTTGAATTGTTTCTTTCTGATGAAATGTCTTTCCTTCCTTCTGAAACCCACTTTCTTCTTTTTTGTTTGTCCATTATTCAGTGTTTAATTAATATTTACTTTGTATTTCATAGTGGCCTTCTCCTTCCCCCTTTACCGTATCGCATTTGAATTTGATATGGCAATCAGAAGAGTAATAGCAGCAGAAATGCGCTCAAGACTTGTGGGGCACTTGAACAGTTTGAGTGAAAGCTTCAGTATGCCCCAGTTTGGTATGTTGCAGTGTCGGGAGCTTTCTAATTTCGTATTTTTGATGTTCTTTTTTTTTCCCTATTTCGACTCCAATTCAGAGGCCAATAAACATGACGAAATTGAGTTTGGAAACACACTTGAGTGCTCTTGTACTTGTAATCTTCTTCTTCAATTAGTGAAAACCCCTAGCAACTCCGTGGACGTAGCTCAATTATGAGTGCACCACGTAAAACTGTGGTGTTGAAGTTGTGCGTGAATGTTTGTTCGTTCTTTTGATTCTCGATCTCTGTTATCACCGAAGTGATTTGAAAATTTATTCTCAATCCTTCATTTCTCAAATCTAAATCCTTTATCTCAAATCATTTTATCACCGGGATTTCTCAGAATCACTCCAGCTGGAGGGACTGTGTTAGTTGTATTAAGCAGTGCTTATAAATTCTCCCAAAACTACAATTTGTTTCAGAACCTTCAATACTTGTCTGTATTTATAATATGGTATCACATCAACAAAGAATGGTAGAGGAAAATACACACATGATGAATACATACATAAAATAAAAGAATCACCGAGTCACTTCCATGAAATTCATTTGAAAACCCCAAAGAATTAATACTAGCAAGTAATAAATGGATGGAAATAATAATAAAAATTTAGTGGTTGAGGAGAGCAACCATGGACATGAAAAACGGGAGGCAGAGGATCATAGCCCCTGAGGCCACCACAGAGTGAGCGGCTCCTTTGTCTTGAGACGGCGCGGGAGCGGGCGCACCATCAAAATCTTGGGCCGAAGACATAGCCGCAAAGAAACCCACCACGGCAAAGGCAAAGACCAAGACCTTCATCTTCATCACACTGCTGCTCAAATGTGCCATTGCAAATCAAAGATTTAATTTGAATGAAGAAAAGAAAAGCTTTTAGTTTTAGCTAGAGAGAACAAATAAAGAAGAGAGTTGGGCTGATTGCTTGCTTCCCCAAATATATAGTGATATTTGGGGAAGGGAGTGGGGCCCACAGAGTGGAGAGAGAACATGGGGCAAGAGCTGGATTTGTGGGCTGGCCACGTTGTGGCGTCACAAAAGCAGAAAACTAACGGCTAGAATTTGCTTTGATTTTTAATTTTGAAAGCCGTTGGTTCACCAACTTACTTTATTTTCTTCCCACAATTGCCTTCTGCGTAAATCATTGTTCTTCTTAGCTGAGAAGTAATAAGACCTTGCAGGTGAGGTCGGTGGCACTATGGGCCTAATGGGGGAATTGGAATGACTATAATTTGTTTTCAAATCATGCAATGATGTTTCATTTATTCTATTATATAAATGACGAGTGATTAAGAGCATTTATTTTTGCATCTGAGGTAATAGATTCGATTACGAATCTCGTTCCCTCTCAAAAATAGCACTTTTATCAAAATAGATAACACGTAAAATGCATGTGTAATGTGATGACAGTTAAAAAAATGCGGGGCACTAATGTAAAAATAAATCCTTCACTGATAATATAAATTCATTGACCCCATTTTAACAGTTCACCTCGCTTCCCCAACAACCATAAACTGACAAATCAAAAGGAAAAAAAATGAGTCTCAATAATTATGTACACACACCTACATTACAAAGATGAAATCAAGAAAAAGCATCGAGTCCCTCGATGAGAAAAGTTGTAAAAGCCTCCATTTGGGGCTTTGGTAGGACCAAGCCAACCTCAATCCCACCCAATATGTCTCTACTCTCAGTGAGTGAAATAGCTTTTGCACCATCAATTCCAATATCCTCTATCTTTTTGGGCCTTCCCCATCCAAAATCTGTCTCATAAAGATCCACCTTAGGTGACCCAAAAACCATAACATGAAGCTCCGACCCGAACATCACCTCCCACTCCGATATCCACTTCTCTGCCCCTCCCAAAATTGCCTTGTCTAGCTTCTTAATAGTGTTTCCAATTGCCCTTGTCGCAACAACAATTCCATTTTCCCCCAGCAAGTCCTTACTCACCGCCATCGACCGGCCAAACCCAACGCAATTACCGACATATGTAGGCGGTACTGGATGACCCATACGGGTTAACCCGCCCGCAATGAACCCAAAATAGTTCGGATCTTCACCACACCAAATGTTGTGATTAAGATCATTTTCTTGGCTTTTGACCAAGCAAACCCACACAAATGCACATGTTAGGACATATGGCGATAAATGTACCGGATGTGGCTCATTTCCCTCGTTGCATAAAGCAATAATCCAGTTCTTGATGCCCTCCATTTGGGCCAAGTCCACCAAAAAAGTGGCCCTAACCACGTTCGTTGAATGTCCATTATTATATCTAGGACCAAGAAGAGCCAAGCCTTGTGAAGAAATTCGCTTCCACCACTCCTTCAAGAAAATAGCCTCCAACCCATATGGATCAACAATAGCCGTACGATCATAAGAGGGCTTTGATCGTACGTCTACTTTTGATGAATCTCCAAGCCTAGAGGATGAGGCCCAAGCCTTGATGAAATTGTTGAAGGTCCTCCCATCAGCAACAACATGATGATATGCAAGTCCAATGCAAATCCCACAATTTGGGAACACTGTAATTTGAACACTTGACAAAGGAAGTTTGGCTGCTTGTGTAGCATTACTAATAGGTGCAAAACTACTACTTGATGCTAGTTCAGGCACAAGTGTGTAAAATTCCTCCACTTCTCTTGGGAAATTGCTTGAAAGATATACAAAGTCTCCATCTGACTCGACAACGGTCACCGAAACCGAGTCACCTTGGGTGTAGACGAGCTCGGGAATGCCGGGTTTGGGCCGGGCCACTAGGGTTCCGGCGAAAGGGTAAAAGTGTTGGAGAGTGAGGGAGAGAGAGTGCTTGAGGTTTGGGAGGACGGTGGAAGTGAAATGACAAGTGGGAAATGGGAATTCATAGAAGAAAAGAGGTAGGCTTGGAGAGAAGAAGAGCCATGGTATGTCAAGGAAGGTCAGAGGGAGAGAGGTTTGTGAAATATCAGGTGAGCAGGAGTTTGGTGGGGGAGAGACTTGGCATTGCTCAAGAACTTTGACTTTGGAGAGTCTAGCCATGGATGAAAAAGAGAGACAAGGGTGAACACACAAATAGAAGTTGAACTTTGATTAGTGCTCAAGAAATTGCTTTCTTTCTACGTTCAGCCAAGAATTGTGTGTATAAATAATCTGAGTGCTGGGCCAACTTATTTAATTAAAATTAGAAGCACGTTTCACATATTTTTTTTTTTAAAATCAAACGATAGGAAAGTTTATCTGTAGCCAGACATCAAAGAGCCACTCTGGCCATACATTAGCACCTTTCACTTCTCAATTATATAAAAGTGTCGGTTGGTTGTGGGGAGTGGGGCCTGTGGAGAGTTCAATGCGTCCCCATTGGTTGTTATTATAATGAGTAAAATTGGCAAAGGACCACTATAATGATTTGGAATAATTATTCTCACATGAAAGTTCGTATCATGGGTTCGAGTCTTATCATGAGTTTAATACAAGCAAAAAGTTATTTTTGGTTCCTGTAGTTTGCCACTTTTACCACTTTGGTTAATGTCGTTTCAATTTGATCAATTTTGTCCATGTAGTTTCAATTCTGAGCAATTCAAGGATAATCCCCAATTTTTTGTCAAATCACTTTAATATGGAGGGGCATTTCGGTCCAATCTTGCATCCCCTCCACAACTACTCCCTAGCCACCCAAGCAATCCCTAATGTAGTTTTTCTTATGCTTTCAAGTCTCAAGCCCCTACTTTATCTTGGATTCATGATGAGAGGTTTTAGGCAATGCATGTAATTAGTTATGGAGTTTGATGTGTGTGTGTGAGAGAGAGAGAGAGAGAGAGAGAGAGAGAGAGAGAGAGAGATAGTGAAGGGAAAAGGTGGTTGTGGAGGGAGGGGATAAGGTGATTGTGGGGGTGGTTCGGTCGTGGCTATAAGATAGGGAGTGGGTTGAGTTAGGAGGAGGAGGAGGAGGAGGTTGGGTGGGGAAGGGGAGGAGGGAGGAGGGATGAGAGAAGGTGGTTGGGTAGGGGCTGCTGGGTTTTTGTGGGAGTGGTTGTGGAGGGGTTGTGAGTTGGACCAAAATGCCCCTCCATATTAGAGTAATTTAACAAAAAATTGGGAATTGTCCTTGAATTGCTCAGAATTGAAACTACAATGACAAAATTGATCAAATTGAAACTACAATGACCAAAGTGGTAAAAGTGGTACACTACATGGACCAAAAATGGTAATCCGTTAAATAATCAGTTAAATTGAATTTATAGCCGTGAAGAACTCATGTTGATAATCATTCCTTTAATTGCACTCATAGTATTAATGTATGTATCACGTGAAAGGTAGTTGTCGCCTCTAGATAGATCCTTTTCAGTTTCTAAAATTGTGATCATCACCGATATTCTACTCTTTCTTTCTTTTCAGTCCCATATAAGTGCAATTTTTTGTTGCCAAAAAAAAGTACATTCGCATTATTGCTTTTGAAGCATAGTACATTTGTATTTAACAATATTTCTGAAGTGTGGAAAATATTTGACCAAAAAAAAAAATTGAGTGTGGAAAATTGTGAATAAATAGAGAATGTGATAAAAATTGTAAGAAATGTTGAATGAAATGAGTGAAATGATTTATGAAATTTGAAGGTATTTATAGACATATTTTAGGTTCTTTATATTTGAAAAAATGTGCTCACTGTCCAAGGGGTTGGTTTTTTTCGTTTTGCCCATGTTTGGAGTTGATTTTTACACATTTTGAGGGCTATATTTGACCCATAGTGTTAGAAATGTGCCCTAAGAGCCAATACATTTGATGTAATCTCCTTAGAATACATTTTGTATATGATATATAAAGGGCAAACTTAATTTGTTATCTTTTACATCGTGTAAAGAAACAAATGTCCAGGGTATGCTAAATAAGAGATAAAGTAATCTAAAGAAGATTAGATTCATGAGTGACCCATAGCCCATAGATCAAGTACATCCAATGTCTCTCAATCAAAGCAAAGAACCAATAATCACACTCACAGCCAAATAGGATATAGTGTAATTCTCTCAAATGGTGACCTCTACCCAAACAAAAAAGAGAGATTTTTTTTTTGTGAAAAATAAAAAAGAGATTTCTCTCTAACCAAATGCGGCCAAGAAAACCTAAACAAGTTGTTTGGGCCCAAATTTGACACGCCAAAACCAAAAGCAAAGAGCCCACATCACTTCCTGGGCCGATTGAAACGATTTCAACCCATCAGCACGTCCAGTCCATTAAGCAAAGCAAACAGGCCAATATCACGTGGCCCAAAAGACGTTAG